AAAAGTTATAAATAATAAAAAGATCTACAATATTTATTTAAACTATTTTTCGACATAACCTCACTTTTCAAATAAATTGAAAAAAATGTTAAAAAATCACCTCTTTTAAAATATTTTTCTATAATTTATAATTAATTTATGTTTTTTTTCATGGTATTGATTGCTAATAAATTTAAAATAGGTGATTTTTAACATTTTTTTCAATTTATTTGAAAAGTGAGGTTATGTCGAAAAATAGTTAAAACAAAAATTGTAGATCTATTTATTATCTACAACTTTTATATTTAACTTTTTTTGATCCGAGCTATAGTTTTCTTTTTATTAACAAAAAACCGTTTTTTTATGTGTCGCGCAATTTGAATTAATGTTTTAACAATAGTAATAATAAAGGTACCATATTTTGAAAACATGTTTTTTATGTAAAATTTGACGGAGAATACGATAAAAATACTAAAAACTTAATACGAGGTGGGGGCCATTGTTAAAAATTGATTTAAAAAATTAAATTGTTAATAACAATATGAATTTGTTAATAATTTTTATTAAAAATATTTTGTTATCAAAATTCAGTCCTTTAGCTTTAAAATGAAAAAAAAAAAGATGTTTGTAGCTCAAATAGAACCGGAGTTATAAATTTTTGAAAATGGGTCTCCAAGCCAAAACCTTGTTTTTCTCAAATTTTTGATCACTTGTATTATCGAAAATATGCTAAAGAAAAAAAAAATCCTCGGACACGTGTCTCTTATTTTTCGATATAGAATCCCTAAAAAAAGTTTCAGCCAAATCGGAGATGTGTCGGTCAATTTTTATCAAAATCCGTACGGTTTGTAAAAGAATTACCCATATGCACAATTCAAAGTTAAGATAAATTGGTGTAAAAGTGCGGACACAAAATAAAAGCAATAGTACTATCAAACCTATCGACGATTTACGACAATGGAAAATTTAACTGAAATTGGTCATAAAACAATGTTGTAGGTACAGGAAATTATTTCATGGACTTCTTAACAATGTATAAGTACTAGTTTATGAAATATGTATAATTTTTAGAGATGGGAATCGGAAAGTTTCCATTTTAAGGAAAGTTTCAATTTTGGAAAGTTTCCAGTCGGGAAATTATTTTCATTTTGAAAGTTTCTTTGAAGGTTACCGGAAACATTCCCGGAAACTTTCCTTGGCAATTTTCCCTGTTTTTTATGTAAATGTCAATTGTTTAATAGCTGATTTGCGAACTGAATAAGATGTTAATTTGTGTTAATTTAAAGAAGAAGTTTGTTGAAGATCTTATTATCACAATTCATAAATCGTTTGCAAAAAACCCTTTGCATAAAAACCTTTTAAAAGGAATACAAAATAAAAACAATAAACAAAGTTAGAATCATTCTAACGTTTTTGTTGTTTATTTATAGGTAAAGTACAATGCCAAGAGAAAAATCTTTTATTTGGAATTATTACAAAATAGTGCAAAAAAGATCATGTTCAATGTAAAAAAAATATATGTTGTTAATGCAACCAAAATAACATCTTACACCGAAAAAAATAATGTAGTTGAGTTAACATTTGCCTAAATGTCATTTTTAAAAATGTTGTTTCAACAAAAAACCTATTGGATTAATCTATATTTTGGTGTTAAAGCAAAAGTCAGAGTTTGTCAAAGTTTATTTGTTCATTTGACAGTTTAAATATTAATTTAACATAAACTAATATTTTGAATTAAAATGTTTATCGTAGTTTGATTTAATAGCTGGAATTTGTTGAATCAACTACTGAAATTTTTAGGATTACCTAAAAAAACTATTAAATTAACGTTTACTTGCTCTTTAATCCAAAACTTTAAATTTGTTCATTTAACAAATTTAAAATGTTACTTTAAAATTTAAAATGTAAAATTTGCATTCATAAAATTGCCGAGAATGGCGCTTCGAACACTCACGCCACGTCATTAGACAATGACGTTTTCTTACATCTCGCCTTAGTTAGCTTACGATTAGGTGTATATAAGATGAGATATCTGTTTGTTTAAGGTGTGTTCCACAGTAGAACTTTCACTACACCATATTGCCCGACACTGTTAAGACCCTCAATACAGGGCGAAACAGTCTGTCGGTATTTGAAGTAGGTGGAACACATGATACAAAGATGTATCATGGGTGGAACACGCTCAAAACAAAAACTCTGGGCGAGGTGAAGGTTCAATTATTTCTATTTATATATAATAATATATTATTTCCATAATTTTGTTTTGGATACCAACCTTTAAAGAATTTTACATTTTCAGAATGTTAATTTAACATTTTATTGGTGTTAAGTGAATATGCTAAAAAGGTTACCTGGACATTTCAAGAAATTTACCTTAACACCCTAAGAATGTTAAATTAACCAAATTAGCAGATTAGAACAAATATTCTTATTTTGTTCATTTGACTGTTATTTGTTGTTCAATTAAACAATACAATTTGACATTTTTAGATGGTTAAGTAAACGTGCAAAAACCATTGCTTGTATTTAAAGTGCATAAAGAGTTGAATTAATATTTTTTTTGTTGTTTCAACAGCTTATTTTTTTCAGTGTATTATAAGATTATAATCTATGTAAAATTTTAAGTCTACTGAAAGTCAAGAAGGTCCACCAGGTAGCAATGCCAGTACTGGAAACATAAAAGAATTTGTTGATAACATGTCTCTTAACGTACAGAATAAATTGGAAGAACTATTTGCTCGAGTAATTTACTGTAGTTCTTGCCCCTTTAGTTTAGTCGAAAACCCTGATGTAATATTTTTAAGTAAACAACCACATCCAAGTTTCAAGCCACCTGGATATGCTAGAATCCAAAAAGTAGTTGAAGATAAGTAGGCTGATAATTTGACAATTCTTTCAGATGGTTGGACAGATGTCAATGGGGTGCACTAATAAATATAATTGTAGCAACTCCAGAGCCTGTATTTTTAACTCGCTCAAAAATGTTGATTTTATTTTTAGCAACCTGTCCTTGCATATAGCCCACAAATTCTCAATAGGATTAATATCCGGTGAGTTTACAGGCCAGTCTAGAAAGGTTACCTTTTTGTCCTAGTGTAAATTAGTCGCAATAACCGGCAAAATCACTGAAATTTGCAATTACTTAATGCAGAATGATATGTTATGGGATATATCAAGAAAAACCTGTCGAAATTGTCACAGCAGTGTTCAAAGTTAAAATAATATAGAAATTCCCAATGTTCACATTAATTCGCTCAATACTGTATGTTGGTAAACTTAACCTTTGCTCCTTCTGTACAGCGAAAAATGTTTTAGAAGAAAAAGTATCTTAGTTTTGGGAAAAATTGAATTTTATTTTGTTAAAAAATTGTTACAAAAAATATTTATTAGCAAAATGGGTTATATATAATATATTTAAATAAACTTAAAAAAGAATTTCTAATAAAACTTTTAGTTTTCTTTAAAAATTCTACAAATTCTAAAAAATACCATCGTATTTGAACTGTTTTTTCGGGGCCATTAAGTTTATCCCTGAATGGAAAAGGGTAATGGGATTTTTTTACTAATTTTTATACAGACTACGCAACCGAGAAGCCAGAAAAACAACTCAATGAAATTGTATATTTTTGAAATGCTTAAGTTTGTTAAATTAAATTTAAATAAGTTTAAGTTTCAAAATGTACACCACAATTATGGTACACGCAGAGGTAACGAATTACAATTTGCTTTGCACAGAATGGAGCTGTATAAATATAATCCTTTTTATATTGGATCTGTATTATATAATAAACTTCCATTATCGATTAGAGACTTACCAACTTCAAATTATTTATGTCAAATTACAAAAATTCTTATTGATAATGCATTTTATTCTTTAAATGATTATTAGCAGTGTCATATTTAACTGATTATAAAATATTGTACTTTCTGTATTTAGTTAGGTTTCATTGTATGTTGTATTTTCTTAATGGTTTAGGTAATATAATGTAATTTTTTGTTATCGACTTGTACTATATCTACTGGATGAATAAAGATGTTATTATTATTATTATTATTATTATTAGAACTGACAGTGAAGTTAGTGGTGAAGGAGTTACTAACTCCTGAACTTGGCATTGACCTTTAAGGGCCTGTAGTACAGGCCGATAATTTGCCATGTGGAATGGCAACTCGAAACTCTTATAAATAGCAAAGGTGTAGAGGTTTTAAAAAGTAATAAAATAAATGTTTAAAATTAAACATAAAAGTGTTTGTTCCAATTTAAGAAAAAAAATTAGATGAGGATGAGTTTTAGAGTTTTAGTTTTTTATTGGAGTTTATTTTTTTAAAGTTGACTGATTTTTTTGTTTAATATACAGTGTGACTCATATCTTTGCGACTCACTTACAATTATATTATCGTCAACTCTACTGCACATGAACTACAGGCTAGGGTTATACAAGCCTGCTCAGCCATTACACCAGAACAAATATGAAAGTGTATTGAAATAAATGGTGGGTTGGGTTGTATAAAAAACTTATAATGCATATTTTTTCTTTATCTTCGAGAAAATATTTTTTAAAATATTTTTCCCTTACACTTTATGTTAAAATATTTTAATAAATTACATTCATTACATAACACCCTGTATTATTAATTTTGGTCGTTAAAAATTGTATAATTTCAAATAATTTGCCTAATAAATGGAATTTGTAAAGATGATTATAATTAAAAAAACTACTAAGAACTTGGAAAAAATCCTAGCATAAAGTAATCTACGAGCAGAGAATCATATCATTTGGCACAGACAATATTTTATATTTTACATTATTTCAGGCACTAAACGTAAACGTAAACGAAAATAAAAAATCTATCGAATCCAACTATTATTATTATAATAGTTGGATTCAATAGATTTTTATTTTGTGTTTACCAATATTGTCTGAAATAATGTAAAAAATAAAATATTGTCTGGGCCAAATGATATGATTATGGGCTCGTAATTTTCTGTGGTATTTTTACATTATTAAAAAAAAACTCACCAATTCTTTAATGATAGCATCTGGAAGTTTAATATCTTCCTTATCGTCGACAGCGCAAACAAACATGTTTTTGGTTTCGTTGAACGTAACGCCCGTTTCCTCGATGGTAAGTAAAAGTTTTCCGAACGATATCAACTTGATAATCCGTATCACAGTCTCGTCTTTGGGCGTGAAACTCTTTTTATGCAAATAATTCCAATCGAGGTCGCACTGAACGCCGCCCAAAATGTTGAGGCCCTTTAGGGCCGCGTCCTCGGCCAGCGGGATCCTATTCTCCTTCGCTATTATTTCCGACACTTTCACGCTCGTTCCAGATATCTTCGGGTCGTGCAAATTGATGTTGATCAAATTGAGGAGTTGCGCGATTTGTCGCAGGAAACTTCCCGTGTTCGCTCCGCAGGATTTCAACGTGTCCTGATCCAATTTCAACCAGTCGTTCAGCAGTTTTATGCTTTGCAAATTCGATTCTTCGCCGATTATTTCCAGCATGTCGTTCACGTCCATCCTTTGAACTTTTTTCAGCAACTCCTCGTTCGATTCAGACTTTTTTTTCAAAGTGTTTTCGTCCAAAGCAGATGTTTCCTTTATTTCCACTTCTTTTATTTTTCCAATTTCCTGAAAACAATCATGTTATTGGTTACTCTGGTCATTAAAAAAATGTAAATTTCATTATAAAATATACCAAATTATTATAAAACATATTGAACCTTGACAAAACTCAAGTTAATATTTCCAATCATATAATTTTGAATAGTTAAACCTTAAAAAGTTAAAGTTAAAAAGGTTTTTGATGCTCCTTATTTTACTTATAAACTATGCGAAGTTTGATAAGTTTGCTCTGCGTTACTTATTAATATTAATCGATTTCGTTGAATTTCACAAAAAAATATATTTATCTTGATATACATACAGTGTGACCCATTTGTTTGCGACTCCCCTGTAAAATCTTTATTTATTGTGCGATTTTAACCGAATTTGTTTTAAAGTGTAGATCTTGATAAACTGTATTTTTTGAGCAAAAAACGCCATATTTGTACAAAATACAAGGCCTACTATGTCAGTTTTTAAGAATTCTTATTAGCGATTTTTTTTAAACACTGGATTCACAACCCCTCAAAACGACCCTATACTAAATTTTATTGAAAATTTGTAAGTAGAAAAATGCACAATAATAACTACAAAAATTTATTCTGTCAAGTTATGCATGAAAAAAAAAACAGTAATAAAATTAAATTTATAGTAATAGTACCATGTACCATTTTTATGTTGTATACAATTCTTGTGCTTTGAGTTTGTGCTGTTTATAGAGATTAATAATCGTTACATGTTTTGTAAAAAATAAACCTTATTCTATCGGGGCCATCATTAAACTGTCAAATGTCAATTTTAGGGATAATTTCTGTGGGTAAAAGGCATAAGGGGATAAGTCAAAACAATACATTTTTTAGTAGTGCCTTAAACGTGTTCGCATTAATTTAGGAAATACATTTATGGTTAGCGGGTATATCCTTTTGCCAGCACATGTCATATGCTAGCAAAAGGGTATGCTCGCTAACCATAAATATACTTCCTGAATTAATACGAACACGTTTAAGTCTCTACCGAAAAATTGATTTTTTTTGACTTATACCCTTATGCCTTTTACCCACAGATTTGTGAGTATTGTAAGTTTGTGGGTTATGGTAAATTAACCCCTAATAAAACAAGGTTTATTTTTTACAAAAGAGAAGTAAAATGGTTGTCCTTAGCACTAGGCCTCATTTAAGGCTTACAAGTGCCTCTGTAAGAAACAAAACGTTTAAAACGATTTTTAATCTGTATAAACAGCCCAAACCCAAAGCACAAGAATTATAAACATAAAAATGACCGCCGTTAGTCTGTGCTGTGGGTTGTGGATTGTGATCATAAAAATCTGTTTATTTTTCGATTGCGTTTCCGAAAATGGAACTCAAATTTAAGCGGTCTAGTATTTCGAAAGAAATATTCAAATTATCTAAAAAAACTTTATCTATTCAATTATCTTATTAGCATTTATGATATTATTTATATATAATTTATTCGCTGTACGCTAAAGAAGTATCGGGTTTTCGCAACGCGCGCGCCATCTGATGGACTTCGATAGCATTGCGTGAATTTAAGAATTGTCAACAATACATTTAAAGCACAGATTATACATCATTTTTAAATAAATAGGTCGTTTTTTCACAAAAGAGAGGAAGGCAGAAGTCTTACTCGACAAATGTTGTTCAATTGCACAGCTAAATCGCGCACGGTATTTGTGTTTTACGTTGCAAGGAAAAAATTAAAAAACTTTTTTAGTACTCGATTTCGATTGAGATTATTCCTTATATCATCGATTAAGAAACTCAACGCTTAAATGCTTATATAGTAACGTAACTGTGTGTGTATTTTATCTAAGGGATCCTGGTAAATTATTGTGTTTTTAATTGTAAATAAAATTCAAGAACTAAATCGTTGCATTTTCATTTTTTGCCAAAGGATCCAATTCGGTAAGTACATTTGTTGGTGCAGAATTAACTAATGATAACTTTACCTAATATAATTTATATTTAAGTTTGGACATTTTTAAGAAATTAGTAAAAAATAATTTTTGCACAAACATAACCTTAAAATCAAGCATTTTTATATTTGAGTTCTCTAAAAAACGCCGACAAGTGCATTTTAAACAACAAAATATATCTACGAATTCATGGCAACATAATACATAATATAATGGTATTTTACCGTTGAGTGGAGATCAACGCTTTTAATAATGCTAAATGCTGTTTAAATTTAGACGACTTATTTGTTTGACGATTTTTACTGAATTGTAATGTTTACACTTTTCACGTTAATCACTACTGAAATGTGTATTTATTGTATCTAATAGGTACAATTTATATTTACAAATACTGTATGCAATTTATTTCTTCATTCAGATTAACACTGTTTATTCGAAAAAATCAACCCAGGATTTACTCTCGAAATACACTCAACAACAACAAGTCGTGCCACGGTTTTTGTTCCGATATTTTTTAACATTTTCCGGCTTTATTCTGAAAAACACTCGTTTGTAACATAAGCGTTTGACAGCTGATTATTAAAAGTTGTACATTTGTTACGATGATAACAGCCGAGTGGTGGCGCTACTAGCGATACTTCTTTAGCGTATTCCGTTATTATCATAACTGTGATATTTAAAAACAATGAAACATTCACCAAGCTCTCCATAGAATTGTATGGAAAAAATATCCTAGATTAATATTTTATTTTATTTATTTAACATCCAGATACACGTGTACAGAAAATAATTTCTGCCTATTGGAGGTAATAAAATTACCTGTACATAGGTCCGGTACATAACTTAAAAACTAGGATCTTAAAACTAAACTAAAACTAAAATAATATATAATATTTTCATTATCATTGCGAAAACAGTTTATAATTCCAACATTTAATACTATTAAGTTAACAATGAATTATTGGTACAGTTTTTGGTAATCCAGTCTTTTAACATTTGTTTAAACTTAAAAGTAAATTTGTTTTTTGGGTTATTTACTACTTTGATGTTATTAGGTAACATGTTGAAGATTTTTATACCATTGTAGAGACTAGTTTTTTTACCAACAGCAAGCTTGACTTTTGGCAGTACAATACTTTTAAACCTAGTTGTTTTATTACTATTTTTGTACATAACGTACAAGTTATTAAAATTGATAAGTATAGTTTTTAAATAGTAATTTTGATAAATATTAAGGTGGTTGTCACAAAACTGATCATTTCCCAGAATTACCTTTAGTACCCTTTTCTGCAAGTTTAAAAGTTGCAAAAGAGCATTCTCATAAGCAGAGCCCCATACGGCAATTCCATAAGTGGCAAGGCTATTAAATATACCATAGTAAATTACCAACAGTGATTTTGTGTTTAAAATAGACTTTAATTTTGCAAAAACAAATAGGAGATACCTAAGACGCTTTGTAACCCATTCGATATGCTCCCGCCATCTTATTTGTGTATCAATAACTACTCCAAGGTATTTTGTACTTTTTACTCTTTTTATTAAATGGTTGTCAATTTTAATATTAACAGTGGCAGGATACAAATCTATGTAATTAACAAAAGTTATAAACACTGTTTTATCTATATTTAGAGATAGCTGATTGTCTTTAAGCCATTTTGAAATTAAAGTTAAAAAGTGATTTATTTTTTCAGTTACTATTTTCCAGCTAGCATCAGTGCACAATAGAGCTGTATCGTCAGCGAAGGCTACAATGTTTTCAGATGGAAGTAGTCGAAAAACATCATTGGCATAAACCAGAAATAACAAAGGACCAAGGATTGTACCTTGTGGAACCCCCATAGTCAACTCACGCTTACAACTTTCAATACCATTTATATTTACATATTGGCTTCTTTCATTTAAGTAACTTCTGATCAATGTCAATGCCGTTCCCCGAATGCCATAGCGGTATAATATAATATAAATATTATAGAGATAAAAGATTGAACGCCAGTGAATAACGACCGCCCCTAAATATTCAAATAATGGATTTCCAATATTGCGCAAGCTTGTTTGTAAAAAGATGGCTTTATATGTCAAAAATGTCAGTTTTAAGCAATTGAAATTGCGAAAACTGTAGAAGTTGGGAAAAATAAAACTATGCAAAATAATGTATACTCAAAATCAAAGATCAATGTTTCTTTGCAAGAAAAACGACCTTATAAGTCACAAATACGAACACTATAGACTCCTCTTTTTTCACCTTTTAGACATTTTAACCAAAGTCCTGTCAAAAAAACTTAATTATCAAAAACCAGCTGTATACGTCAAAAATGACAATTAAAAGGCTTTGAAGTTTACGTCAAAAAATGACAAATGACAGATGTCACATTGTCACTTTTGACAGGCATCGGAATTTTTGACATCTGCTATTTTTTGACACTTGACAAAAATTGCAAATTAAATTGTAAAAATCGTATAAATTGTCACAAACCAAATTAAAATCGCGCAAGATCAAATCTGAAATGTTAATCAAAATACCTTTGTAATTGCTCCTTCCTCATCGCTGGAATTTGCCAAAATATCCTCATTCTCAGAAATAAAGGAATCGTCAGAACTACTATAATCATCTACACTATTGCTGTCCTCTTGTTCGGATTCATCATCGCTATTCACTTTCACGATTTTCCTCCTTCTCAAAAGATTTTTGGACTTTTTGCCGCCCAATACCAAATCCTTAATAATTCCATTTTGACTAGTTTGCACCTCTTCGCTCAGAGGGTAGTTTAAAATGCTCTCTTGCATGTGAGAGGTTATGTTCTGTATTATCTGAGAATACACAGCCAAAGTGAAGGCAACGACGGTGGACAGATGTTGCGAATTGCTAGATTTTAACTTCGATACGCACAGTAGACAAATAACGACGATTTTAAAAAGAATGTCGCTGCTTAAGTATGTTGAGGTCGAGGTAGAATCTGTGTCGTTGGAATCGGTTGGACTTTCTTCGCTGTCAGCACTAGTGGGTCTCGGATATGACAAACATTCCTCCAAGTTTTTGAATGTTTGGTGACATAAGTTGTAAAGTTTCGTCACTTTCTTATTAAAATACCAAATATCAATGAGCAACAAAAATCTGGCGATAAAACGTTTAATACTTTCAGTCTTGCTAGGTTCGATAATACAATCAGTATCCTCATTTTCGTCGGGGATTTGTTCTACGAACTTGGAATTCTTCTCAAACAAACTGTGCAAATTATTGCTGGTTCCTTCAAAAGAGTATTTGCAACCCAGACAACGAATGTAATGGTAAACGGCGTCTAAAAATTTATTTTGGCCCATAGATAACGTCCCCATTTGATTATGGGGCATTCCATGTTCAGGTTTGTATAAAATAGCTTGTAAATAGTACCGATTGGCCAAAGTGGGCTCCCAATTCGGATATATATCCAACTTGTACCTGCTCAAATCGCCCAAATAAATTAAACACTGATGGACGGCTAACTGAGCCCACTCAATTGATTTAGGACTCAAATATGAAACATCCTTTTTTAAATCCAGCTCGAACGAAAAATCAATAATGTTATTTAAGTTCAAATTGTACTCGTTTTGTATTCGAGAAAGAAAATGATGGTAATAACCAATTCCGCTATTAATATGACCCTGCAAATTCGATATTTCTTCTGCAGAGTACTCATTTTTCTTTAGCTTTTTAGCACTTGACACCACATCGTAAAAGCTTTTACGCCACAGCAGCTCTTCGCTCTTTTTACCATACAATACGGGATCGGAAAAAATCAGCCGTTCGCAATAATCACAAAATTTTCTTCGCTGTAAACATAATGCGGGGGAAAATAATTCTCCAATGTTTCGGGCACAACTTCTGGCATCGTCTAAGCGTTTAGCTTGTTCACTTATAGATCTGCAATTATAAAAAAAATGATTATTAGTTAAGACTAATTTGAATTTTTTCTTGTTAGGAAGTTCAAAAACATTGGAAAACTGTCTACATTTTTGGAAACTCTGTAGTTAAAAAGGGTTATGTGAAATTATCTCGAAATAAATCCGTATTTTATAAATTTAATTTGACAAAATTTGTTTAATATGTATTTATTTTTACTTAATTAGCAGTAATAATTCATTTTTTATGGTAATACGAGCCCTAACCACATAATGTTCGGACACTTCATAATTTATACAGAAATTTTTTTCGTGAATACTATCTCAAAATTATTAGAAGTTATGAAAAATTCAGCTTATTTTGGCATATACCCCTCGAAGCGATTTTTATTTTTAAAAAGTTTACCTTTCATTTTTAGCTTTTAAAAAAAGGCTAACTTTTTAACTTTTTTTTGTATGAGTAAAAAAAGTTATAAATGGACCCATTAAAAAGAGCATAAAATATTATACAAACCCTGAAAATTTGGTAAAAAATAAATAAGTTATAAAAAAGTATAAGTAATTTAAAAATGCTATTTTTAAAGAGTTTTTGCAATTTTCTTAGGAAACGGGAGATTTTGCAGATATATATATCGCTATAACTTTCTTATTATTTATACAATTTTTACCAAATTTTCAGGGTTTGTATAATATTTTATGTTCTTTTTAATGGGCCCATTTATAACTTTTTTTACTCATGCAAAAAAAAGTTAAAAAGTTAGCCTTTTTTTAAAAGCTAAAAATAAAAGGTAAACTTTTTAAAAATAAAAATCGCTTCGAGGGGTATATGCCAAAATAAGCTGAATTTTTCATAACTTCTAATAATTTTGAGATAGTATTCACGAAAAAAATTTCTGTATAAATTATGAAGTGTCCGAACATTATGTGGTTAGGGCTTGTAATAGTTATTATGTCATAAGGCTGAAAAGTGAGTCTTTTTGTACAATTGTGCAAAGCAGAAAAAGACTTTTAGGCCGCATGGCATACCTACAACATTTTATTTTCAATGCATAATTTGATTTGTTAAACAATACATAAAACGTACAATTATAATAATTATAATATGATAGTTCGAATTACCAACATTGAGTACACCCACCTATATTACCTAATTTTGGGCTGCTGATTTAATAAATGCCACTAGTTTTGCTCCAAAACGTCTAGGATTCGAATTGCGTAATAAAATGCTCTGTAAAATTATTATAAAATGTACGTTTTTTCGTTAGTATTTTGATAACTTATTAAATTATTTTGCCTTAAAACTATTTTGGATGTATCGTGTCCCTGTATATTTTTGTCGTTTTTTGTCAAAAATATACAGGGTATCTATACAAATTTATTGTGGCAGTAGTAGTATCATATCCCTCATAGAAAATATTTAGACCAAAGGAATATCATTTTAAATACCCAAACTAATGTATTTATTTTATTCACATCATGCCTCAAGTACCCATTTGCTGAAATTTGCAGCAAAAGCTGTACGATGATGATATGGATTAAGCACTTTTAAAATAGTAAAATTCAATTTGATACGATTTAATAAATTTAAGATAAAAAAACAGTGGGATTGCCCTTAAATCAAAATTATGCAATTCATTAAATTTTTCAGGTATAATGTGAATAAAAAATTTCAAATAATAGTCGAATGTAATACCATCAGGTATTTTTTTTAGTTTCAACGGAAACTTGGGGGTTTGACGAATTAATTTGAATTTCTTAGAGGCAAATTAACAAACCACAAAGTTTGATTTAAAATTTCCTGCTCAATCGAACATTGAGTGGTATTTGTTAAGAAAATTTCACGAGTAAAAAAATTAAGTCATTTTTTTGTCACTTGGCATTTTTCTATACAATAATACATCCGTTACTATGAAAAAGGTAAATAGAAAAATAATCGCCAATTTTAGTCACTTGCATTTCTGTTCCTTTCTTTTATCCGTCAGCAAACCGTATTTGTGACAGTTTTTAATAGGTTTAAATTGACCGTAGTGGAATTTTCAAAGATAATTTTCATACCAAAACTTATTTACTTTGTTGCCTTTTCAATTCAATAATTAAAGTAAACTACAATAAAATGTCAAATAATGGTTGTTTTTTCACATAATATAAATTATAATTTAGTTTTAGTATTTAAAATGCCATACCATCGAGTTAAATATTATCTATTTGATGTATACCGATTACTCCAGTACATTCAAAATAAATTTAAGGCCTAATAATTTAATAAATAATTAAAATATTAACAACAAAACTTACATTTTGAGGTGATTGATCCGAGCATTTTAATACGCAATTATTTTAAATCCTAGACGTCCTAGAGCAAAACGAGTGACATTTTTTAAATCAGCGGCCCAAAATTAGTTTGACTAGGCCGGAGTTCACAATGTTAGAAAAAAAAGTTTATAAAACTATCATAATAATTATTAAAAGTAGAAAGTGAGGTTAGATAATCTAGATTAGATCTGACCCAAGATACATGTATGTATACACCTTAAGATAGGATGGTGCGCATGTACGTTGGTTGATAACTTGCTGTTTTTTTGTTAAACTTGTTGTTTTTGCGTTCGATAACGTTCGAATTACTTTTCAGTGTTTAAATTATTGTTCTTATAATTGCGTTCTGTTCTGTTTGTGCTAAACTTATTGTTTTTGTGTTGCGTTAACTTGTTTTGTTTGTGTTTGAGTTTGTGTTGTGCCATTTGCATTAATTAAAATGCGGTGTGCTATATTTGGATGCAATTCATTTTATTAATTATTAATAAAATGTAAAAAAAGTTTATAAAAACAAAATGCGCAATACAAATGAAAAGAGAAAAAGTCAATAGTTGGCGGTTACAACGTTGTTGCAGAATAGCATTCAATTACTACTGTTGCAACCTGTATTGTTGCAGTGATTCAATTATAAAATTGGTTACAATTTTTGTATTTTTTTAATAATAATAATAAATTCATTTAAAATGGTAATAAAAAATTTTGGTTACAATTTTTTTTCACAATAAAAATAAACATAAAATATAGTACGAAGGGTCTAACATTTAAATTTTTTTTTATATTTTCAATTTATTGATATTTTAAAAGTATAAAATTAAAACATTACAAAAATATAAAATTAAAACATTAAAAAATATTATTTTTTAATTTTTTTAAATTTCTTATGAAATATACCAAATATCTACAAACTTTTAAGATTAGTGAAACCATTAAACTTAAATTTTTTATGTAATAAACTTTAGATGCATTTAAACCGCGCCCTTAAAATTTCATTTTTAATTTATAATATAAACAAAAGGTTTAAAATAAATCAATACAAAAATAAAAAATTACAGGAATTTTTGAAGAATTTAAAATTGTAATAAATATTTTTATCTACTCCTATAGGAGCAATATATTGCATAATTTTGGTGTTTTTCCGTGAATATTGTAAAGCATTATAAATTTCCTGCCTAAAAACGTGAATAATAAACTCACTATTCACGTTGTTAGGTATCAGTGATTGGCCGATTTCAGTATTCACTGTGATTTGAACCAATCGGGTTTTAAATTGGAAGAAGGCGACTATAATAACATTTAAAATTGGTAAAAAGTAAGGTTAACAATTTGACAGATTTTTTTTATTTAATTTTGAAAATTATTTAATTATCTACTTATTGGAGTAGATAAAGTATAGTATTACACTCGAGATTATGCGCAATATTCACTCGGATGATTTAGGTCTCTCGTCAAGACGTAAACCTCATCCTCGTGAATATTAGCCTGCATTATCTCTCGTATAATAATATACTATTTGTTCAAAGGAATGTATTTTTTTAAATAATATTAAAATAGGTAGATTTAAATAGAATTAAATATGTTTACAAAGCATCTAGCATCTTTATTTTTAACACTATTTAAACGATGTATTTAAATCTTCTATAGGTATATTTTGTTAAACTTTTATATTTAAATTTTCTATTTTCAGAATTATACTCAAAGTGACAGTTTGTCACCAGGGTTGGAAAAAACCCGTTTTTTTTTAAATAAAACCCAAACCATTTTTGGGTTTTAGAAGTGGGTTTTATTGTTTTTTTTAATTCCATACAGATTTTAGTAAAAAACAGTTAAAAAGAAATACTGTCAATAAGAAAAATTCACTACCTTCTCCTTCACAACTTATATTCGCATGTTTCGCAACTTCGGTTTGATCATTTCTTAGTTTTAGACTGTACTGCTTTTGATTAAATACTACTTTTTAACATGCATAAAAATGTTACACCCTGAATATATTTAAAAAACTTAACAACTCATTATGTCTAATGAGATGACAAGCAAACATTGCAATTTAATGTACCAAAATGAAATTTAAATTTTAGTAGGTACTTACATATCATATATATGTACCTACTTAAATTTTATCACATTTTATTTTGGTACATTAAATAATTTAACTAAAATTGCAATGTTTCTTGTTCTATGTAATTAGTATTATTTGTGATATAATGAGTGTTATTTTTTATAATTTACTCTCAGTTTTGTTTAGAGAGATTTTAAGTTATATGAGATATTAAATATCAAATTTTGTTTTATTTTTAAATATCATTTTATAACATGTTTCATAAAACATGTTACCTAGGATAAATTTATTTTTTATATTTTTACATAATATGTATTATTAAATATTTATTTATTTGAATGTGTTTTTTTTAATTTATACCTAGTAATATTTTAAATAAATAAATTTTATCAAAATTTGGTGATTTTTTGTACGATCTGGTGATTTTTAACCAGATTTCGATTTTTTTGACCTGGGAACCCTGATGGTTCCTATGGATAATTAAAGTAAGGCTGGAGTTGGCATGGTTTACTATTTGTGTCAAAAAATCAAAACATCATAACTTTGATATAATTAACAAAATATACACATGTACCCTGTTATTTTTGAAATGTCATAAGAAAATTGCTTTTCACCCTTTTATATAAAAAATAGTATAAGTATTAAAATTAAAAAATTAAATACAAAACCTTACTTAAAACCTGCTAAGCTAAATGCCTGTATCTACACTGCCATGCTAAGCACAGAAGCGGTAACTCCAACATTAAGTAATAAAGGACAACTAATTTTATATTGATTTCAACAATACAAAGTATTGTTTGTTCTTTATTATTGCAGTTACCGCCTCTGTGCTTAGCATGGCAGTTCAATGTTAGTTGATAGAGGAAAAGTCAATTTTTATTGTTTTTATTAAAAACTTTATAATTATTAATTTTAAGGATGAGCCTGCTCAGTATTAGCAATCAATTTATTTATTTATTAAGAAAGTATTGATTTAGTTCTAGAGAATTAAGTATTTCATTATAATAGGCCTGCAACTAGGTAAATATGAGAGGGCAAGAGTTTTTAAATCTAATTTGTCAAAACGTGCATTAGCTTGGTTAATGTAGTTTCTACAAAAGGGCAATATTATAAGGCACTAAAAAGTGAGGTTATGATTTCCATATTGTGCAATATTTCGTAGATTAATGCAAACTTTACTTACCTATATAATTTTTTAGACAGCTCTTGGCCCTGATTTTGGTGGATATCTGTAGAGTTATAAACTTTCTTCATTTCAACTCATTTTACTGGTCAAGAATTCAATAATAACAATATTTCTATATACTTTGATTCCAGTCTCTTGATATTAAAACAAATCATAATTTTCTCATCGTTTAAATCACAAATGTTTTTTGACACCATTACAATTTCTTATCGCACCACATAAAATAATCATGGCAAATTAATCATCAAATTTTACACTTACATCTGTCGGATAATTTAAGAAAAAACAATCCAAAGTCATACACACAGTGTCATCTATTGTGCAATAGAAATATTAATCCCTAATTTTCGCTCGAATTTAGATGGTAATTAACAGTAAATTGCCAGAAATTGTCTTCATTTTGTTGGGCTAAACAACTCTTTCAAATAACAGAATAAAAATGTTCATTTTAAATTTTTGTTTTCACGTCAATAATTTTGACACTGTCATTACTCTGTTGCCATAATATACAAAATTCATGTGGTGGGATTACATAGATTCTGAACTGAAGCATTCTCCAAAAGAAATATGTGCAAGAGAAATTCTCTTGCAAGTATTTATATGTTTTACTCCGAAAGCTTTCTAGCTCAGAACACAAACTTTCTAGTGTTTTGCCCCGAAAGTGTCTTGAACAGAAAAGAAGTTAGGCAACGTAGCAATCTTGTTAAGAAGTTCAGTGCTGCCAACTTGGTTCAGTATTAAAACTTTTAATTTAAAAGTTGAAGCGTAGATAGAAATAGGCTATTTCAAAAAGCGGTCAAAATATAAAATAAAGGTGTAAATCATGAACGAGCAAATATATAACTTCAAAGTTAACTTAAAGTTTGCTAAAAAAGACATTTATCGCACAATAGAATTAAAGGGTGCAACTAGCCTTTACCAGTTTGCAAAAGAAATTGTAAGGGCTTTTGATTTTCAATTCGACCATGCATTTGGTTTTCATGATAATATCAGTGATATGTATGAAAGCAATGAAGAGTATACCTTATTCTATGATGATGGAAACCCAATTAATCCAAATGAAAAAAGTGTGAAACAATCTCATATTTACAAAGTTTTTGAACCTTCTAAGAAAATGCTTTTTCACTTTGATTATGGCGATGATTGGATGTTTTTGGTGGAATGCTTAGGTGTTTCTAACCCAGAGGCTGGTAAAGATTATCCAATAGTCACTAAAAAAAAAGGAAAGGCTCCTCCGCAATATCCAAATTATGATCATAGTGATGATGATGAATAGCAGGACTTGCTAATATTTTTTCAAATACAAGATGAAGATGCAGGCTACTAAATACATTACAAGAACAACTTTTTCTTTCATAATTTTAGTACAATTTAAGTTTAATTTTCTAATACTGTTATTTTTTATTAAAAATATCAAATAATTTTGTGTTTTTCTCTTAACCTTTGCCTGCTGGTTTCTTTTTGAACACACCTTAATAAAAAACCCGAGAAGCCAAGGAATACAAGTGACATTAAAAAAAATGTAGTTATAACTACATTTACTATTAACTATTTACATTAACTACATAGGTATATGTACAGAAAAAGATAGTAATTACTATAGTAATTAATTACTTATAAATGGTACATTTTACTTGGTATCCATTGGATATCCAATATATATATATATATATCCAGTATATACTATCCAAGGGAACTGAATTCTAAGCTTAGACATCTTGAAAAAGTCATAAAACAACAAACAATTACTACAAATAACAAGTGTTAATTTTTTACTTTAAACATGATTATCTCAAAACTAAACAAAATGTAGGTACTTAAGTACAATTGTACCCCTTGGCTTCTTTTATTTATGGTGTACTTTTGGCCCCTAGTGGAATCCACTATAGTGGCCAAAAGTACACCATAAATAAAAGAAGCCGAGGGGTACAATTGTACTTAAGTACCACTAAGTAGAATTTGGGCACACCCATATCTCAGTTATTAGACATGGGATCCCACATCAAAGTAGAATTTAAATTGAAGTTTGCGAAAAAAAGTTAGTTTTTATAAGTGTGCCCCCAAAGCCTCCTGTCCCCCAAATTAAGATAATTCAAATTAAAGTGGTACAATATTTAATTCACTGAAGTTTATTGACAAATTTCGAACTTTATTAAAAAATTCAAGAATTAAGCTACATTCGTAATGAATTCGCTGGCCGAGTGGCAATTTGACTCGCAAGCTAAGCAAATGTGTAACAGTGTGATCGTTCACAATGAAATTCGACGTTAAAGTGGAAGTTGAAGTGGGCAAAATTTCTTGCAAGCTGCAAACTTCGACTTCAACTTCGACTTTCGTGCCGGCTATGCGACATGCGCATTGCCTTTGTTATGAAGGTTTGACATTTTCAATGGCGTTGAGTTTTGTGTGTGTAGTGTTTTTAATGTGATTAAATACATTTTTCTTGCTTTATTTCAATAAACTACCCATTGTTAATGTAAATGTATGTATGTATGTATGTAACTTAATGTATACTAGTTTTTTATTATTATTATTTATTATTATAAAGAGAACATTAGTGTTTTGTAACACATTTTAATAAGAATGTATCCTTAAATAAACTATTACACAACATAAGTAAACTATTTGATTGATTGTTGTCCATTTTTGCATATAAAAATAACACCAAGCAAAAACAAAATAATGCAAATTCTAACCTTACAAAGAACATGACAGTTACCAACGCCCATGCGTTAAATTCGACTCTAAAGTTATTGTGAATGGTAAATTTCGTGCCGACTTGCGTGCCAAAGTGTCACTCGGCCAGCGAATTCATTACGAATGTAGCTTTACAGGTTTTATAACATTTTATAAAATGGTATAAAACCTGTAATTCTTGAATTTTTAAATTTACCTATAGAATTTTATTTCTTTTACTAAATTTAAAAAAAAATAGAAATGGTATAAAATCTGAATTTTTTTAATAAAATTTGAAATTTTTCGATAAACTTTAATGAATTTAATGAATTAAATAGATATGTGGATTGTGGATATGTCCACAATGTGGATTGTGCACATGGACATGCCTATATAATGTCATTATAAACTCATATAAATTTGTGGTGGGTCCCATGTCTAATAACTGAGATTTGGGTGTGCCCAAAATCCACCAGCCGCCACTTCTTAAAATTTTGGCTTTAAATTATTGTAGGTAATTTGTGATATAATTCACTTGATAACACCAGATATTATAAAAATTTAATTTAAAAATTATATCAATGTCTGTTGTAGTCTGTGGTTGGAGGTAATTTTATCAATTATTTTTTATAATATAAACAAACTGTAGTTTGCCGCCACCGCGGCCGTCACAATAATTTTGTAAGGTTTTTAAAATTACTCTACTATATGGCAACAGTGTTGCCAAGTCGGTGCATATTGCACTAGATCTGGTGGATTCAACCTCCATCTAGTGCCCGGAATTCGATTTTGGTGCGCTAGTGCAAAATCTAGTGCATCATCGATCAATCATTAACCAAATTTGGTAAACAACAATAAAAAGGCGTTTATACAATAGTTTTATTTTTATAATTTTTTAATCATACAACTCAGCCCCAGCCCACATTTCTGATTCAGAAAATCTGAATACGCCCCTGTGCAACAGTCCACCATGCTGACAGCCGTTGTGTTGGTAGCATATACCTGTGGTGGTAGTACTGCGCTGCCGCTGCTCTGAGATCATAGATAATAAATCATATAGATACGCCACTGTCACATATTTGACGCTCCTTGTTACGCACACTAGGTCCGCTATGCCGCTAGTGTACCCGCCTGACATTTATTGGTTTTAGGTTATGGTTTTAATTTAGGTTATCCTGTCAAATTTTGACAGTCAAAATAGTAAAAAATAAAAGGCCAGATAGTTTATTTAAATTGTTTATTTAAAAAGCAAAAATAAATTTATTATATTTTAAATTATTTAAGGTATTTACTAAACTAAACCAATTAACAATATAATAATGTATTCAAGTGAATTTTATCTTATTAAAGAACACAAATCAGTATAAAGTAATAATATTATGTACCACATTTGTGTTAGTACCTACATCATTATTTTAATAAAATAGTTATAATTGAATAATACAATACAACCTGGTCATCATTGTGAAAAGTATGCATCATAACTTGACTGTTAGAGCAGCCCACAGCACAGCACAACACCATGTTAATGTTCAAATAATGTGGCAATATATAAAAAATAGAGTACACAGATAACGATAAATCGCAATTTTAAAAGTTTTTAAGCGTACAGAACAAACCAAATAAACACAATATGAATTTACAAAACTTTACAAAATTTATCAAACTGAAGTTTGTTGATTTCGTTACCAAGCAACCGTCAAGATTAACCGCCGCTCCTGCCACATGCAACTCGAGTGTAAACTAAAACCAAAGTCGACTAGACAAAAATGTGGATTTTGTTTGTTTAAGGCGAGTGCACAGGGCATGTCTGAGATTGGCTTGTTTCAAACAAGTTGTTTGTTGAATTCTTTCACAGAACCTGTTTCGATGAATTTTTCTATGTTTGTTTCAACACAAGAAGTCTAGTATGTTACAGAATATACTATTCCATGGTATTGTCTAGTTCTCCAGTGATTAATTATCAGCGCTTTATTGTTTTTATACTTTTAGATGCCGAAACCACAATATGAACAACAATTTAGAGCTGTGTGGCTAAAGGACCCTGCCCCAAAGCATTGGCTTTCCAGTGTGGAAAGCACATCGGGCACCATGGGAAAATGCAAAGTTTGCAATACAATTTTGGTTAACAGATATGCTGATTTGAAAAGGCATATGGACTCAAAAAAACATAAATACAATGAAAAGATTATATTTGGTCCATCCCAGCCAAAACTTCCACTTAAAAAAAATTCCGAAATTCAAGAAGCCAAAGTAGCAGAAGCAAAGTTAGCATTGTACATTTGTGCTCATACATCAATTTTGCAAATTGATTATTTGAATGATTTATGTAAAGATGTTTTCAAAGGATGTCCAGCTGGAAATAACCTGCAGATTCACAGAACAAAATGTTCAAACATCATAAAACATGTTTTGTCCCCACACTTCCAAAATGAATTAATGGAAGACATTGGTGATTCCCCATATAGTCTTTTGATTGACGAGTCAACAGACATATCAGTACAGAAATTTTTGGGAATTATAATCATATATTACAGTAAAAAACAGAATAACATAATTACATCATACCTTGACATGCCTAAGTTAACCGATTTTAATGCTGATGCAATTGTAAATGCAATCAAGCAAGTATTGCATAAATATCAACTTAAACTAAAACATTTATACGGGATTGGAAGTGACAATGCTTCGGTCATGACTGGAGTCAACAATGGTGTACATGCAAAAATACAACGAGATGTTCCTCATCTGGTTTTAGTTAGATATGTGTGTCATAGTCTTCAGTGAGCAGTATCTGCTGCTGCAAGTGAGTTTTTGCCAAGAAATTTGGAATATCTGATTCAAGAAACTTACGATTGGTTTTCAAGATCATCTTCGAGACAAGGGACATACAAACTTTTGTACGAAACAATAAATGAAGGTCATGAGCCTCTAAAAATCGTTCAATCATGTCAAACAAGATGGCTATCCATTGAAACAGCAGTCATCAGAATTTTGGATCAATGGCTTGAGTTGAAAACTCACTTTGGCTTGGCTCGCACTCAAGAAAGGTGCTATACAGCGGAAACTCTATATAATATGTACTGTAATGACATAAACTATGCTTTGCTATCGTTCCTAAGAAATATATTAACTGATGTCCAAAGGGTAAATAAGTTATTTCAAACCTACAAACCTACAAAACTTTTTGATGATATGATCAAACTAATAGAATTTTTGGTCAATAAAGTTACTTTGCCTAACTACAGTAACATTGATATTTTTAAACAAAAAGTAGAGGACTATATAGACAGAAGCTGCTATTTGGGATTAAATTTGAATATACAGAAGTTGAAAGACAATAACAATTTGAGTTTGAATGATGAGAATATGTTACGTGAGAGAGCTATTAAATTTGTGGTTGCCTTAATCAATCAAATTAAAATGAGACTGCCTAAAAATCTTGAAATATTGAGAAAAGTCTTAAATGTCAGCGTAGGAAACGCTCTTCGTCATGATAAACCATCTTTATTAACACTTCTACAATTTTTCAAAAAAACTGATCAAGAAATTGAGCTTATTGAAAACAGGTGGGCAAGCATTCACCTACTTAAATGGAAGGAAATCAGAGACACTAAACAATTTTGGTGTGAAGTGATGAACTTCAAAGATGCCTCTGGAGAAAATACTTTTTATCAACTGGCAATGTTTGCAATATCTCTATTAGTACTGCCTCACTCAAATGCAGAAGTTGAGAGACTTTTCAGCCAATTAAACATAGTAAAATGCAAATTGAGAAATCGACTAAAGGTTGATACTGTGACTGCCATATTGACCGTTAAGGCTGGACTGAGGTTTAACAAATGTTGCTTTAATTTTGAATTGCCCAATTCGGTCATTAATAAAATAAAAACCATTGAAACCTACAAAGTTACTGATGGCGATGATGAAGAAATTGATATCTACATCTAAATCATTTTTAAATGATTTAGATGTAGATATCAAACTCTAATTAGATAATAAATAATTATTATAACTGTTATTTAAAACCAATATATTTACCTGCCAAAGATTGATATTATTAGAGTAACTTTTTAGTTTTTGTGAACAATACTTATTTATGATTGTTATGTTATGGATATATATTTATAACATGTTACTTAAAATGGTATAAAATACTATGCTTAATAAAGTTTATTTTTGAAATTATTTCATGGTTGCTCATTCATACTTATTTATGATTGTTATGTTATGGATATATATTTATAACATGTTACTTAAAATAGTATAAAATACTATGCTTAATAAAGTTTATTTTTGAAATTATTTCATGGTTGCTCATTCATCTGGAGTGAAATTCAGACTGATTGGGTGGATTTTCACCACTTTTACCATATTCTGTCAAAAAAATGCACTCGATTTTGTTTGAATATACCTTAATTACAATAATGACACAATCAACAATACTTAAATAACGTCAAATTAACATTTTGCATTGTATCTTGTGTCATTTTTTATTTAAGGTAAATTTAAACAAAATCTAGTGCATTTTTTGACAGAAAATTTTTCACCGAAGTGAATTTGGTGCTTTTCTAGTGCATTTTTCATTGCTATATAGTGCATAGCTACTTCAAGCAGTTGGCAACACTGTATGGCAACACTGTCACAGTTGTCAATTCTGTCAAAGTAAAAATGGCTTCAAGCACCTTTAAACAAGATATGCCCCCAGAAGGGGGCTACAAGCCTATTCCATACAAAAGAATACCTGCCAAAACCTTCTTTAGCGGTAAGAAATTAATATACCACCCCCCATCCGCCAAAAAATATAAGTTACGTAACATAACCTCAAACATACTATTTATTTTTTTCTTTTAGGATGGGCTTTAATTGGAGGCTACTTGGGCATGACTGCTGGTGCTGCCTATTTGTATTACTTAAATTGTAAGGCAGTGCATGCTAGAGAACTTGAAGCCAGAAGTGCAAGTTTTGCTATTTACCCAATGTTACTTGCTGAAAGAGATCGTGCCTATTTGAAACAATTGCGGAAAAACCGTGAAGAAGAACGCGAACTCATGAAAAATGTTGAGGGATGGAAAGTGGGCACTTGGTATGGCGAACCGATTTACAAAACTGAAAAACCAGATACTCTTCAAGATCAATTGTATCATGAATATTATGTACACAGTTCATTCAAGGATTACAAAAAGAGAGCACATTTGAGCTTGATATCTTAAGTACTGCTCTTTATTGTTATTTAGAAAATTGTAATATAAATTGTAAGTTAAAAATAAACATTTAATAAAGGTAGGTAGGTTTATGATTAATTCCTTTTAGCGATTAAATCATTGATTAATATTATGCTGGAAGTCAAAACCAATATAAAAAGTAGAGTTAGGAATGGTCATTGATCATGGTAAATTAACTGCTAGCAATTTGACTGGTTAAATTCAGTCAAAATATTATATTTTGCATTATTTTATTTACCTTTGTTTTTAGTCTGATACAAACATCCAAAATGAGATTCCAAGGATAAATCTGATTCTGATAATTTACAACCCTAATTAACCAAATTAATATTCTTAGGGGACATCCATTAATTATGTGAGACAAAAATGGGGGGGTCCAGCAAAATCTAACCAAATCTAATTTTAAGGGAGGGGGGCATTAAAAATCTCATGTCAACTTTTGAGTTTAAAAAATATTATAATTCAAATTTGTTTTTTACATGTTGTCTGCAAAGAAAGATTAATGGCTAAAATCTCAAGTGATGGATAGGGGGTCTACCACATCTCACCAAGGGGAGGGGGGTCCAAATTATCAGAAAAATGTCTCACTTAATTAATGGATGTCCCCTTAGCATGAATTTATGCAAACAGTATTAAATTTGAAAAACTTGCAAACAGTTCTTTTTAAATTTTAAAGCAAATAAAAATAAATAATTTTATTTTCGAATTTGTTTTGGTCAATGGACTAGTGGGTCATTCCACGATACTCGGGGATTTTTTTCCCGCCCGTCACAATTAAAAATTGTGAGTAAAAACTACAATTGTAGTTATAAGTTATAAAATATATTTTTAGATATTGTTTATTATGCTTGTAATAAGCTTACAAGCACAATAAAAATAATATAATAAAATATTAATTCAATAACTTGTGGTTTTTACTCACAATTTTTAATTGTGACGGGCGGGACAAAAATTAACGAGTAACGTGGAATGCCCTTAGTCAAATGACCGATTAACCAAATACTGTCCCTAACAATAAGTATAATTGATTAGGTTAAGAAAATGTTATTATTAAAAATAAAACAATATTTTAAAATTTTCGAAAATAAAATAAAAATAAATAATTTTATTTTTGAATTTGTTTTGGTCAATTGACTAGTCAAATGACCGATTAATTAACCAAATACAAGTCAATTCCACAACCCTAATAATAAGTAGGTAAGTATAATTCTGCCGTGCTTAATGAAAACGCGCGTTTTCATTAAGCCGTAACCAACAATTTAGCGATTTTTGATTTGCGGCATTTTCTACTAGAACAATTCATCCTGCGTCTATTCCCGGTACTCAAAAAACCGTATCTATATATATACGGTTTTTTGAGTACCGGGGATAGACGCAGGATGAATTGTTCTAGTAGAAAATGCTGTAAACCAAAAATCGCAAAATTGTTGGTTACGGCGTTTTCATTAAGCACGGCAGAATTGATTAGGTTAAGAAAATGTTATTTCAATACCTACCTACCAAAAATTTATTCAAAGGTATAAAAAATCAATTTTCTATAAAAAATTAAAATACTAAAGTTATGGGTAATTACCTAATATTGACACAATCTACACCTACACTGTACAATATGTTAAGTTTCTATTGTACACAATAGGTATGTATACATATTATGATCATTTATCCAAATACTGTACCTAAAGCAAGCTTTTTTAGAGAGAGCTCTCTGTAATTTGGTTAGGTAGTTATGTTTTCTAAATACACCTAGAATTTGTAGATATAAAGTAGTTAAAAAATATAAGGGAATATTTTAAATACCTACATTGTGTGTATTGTGGGTTAATCTTTCATCATTGATTCACTCAACGCTTTCATAGAAATAAGTTATTTCAAATACCTAACTAATGGCAGTCCTAAAAGATTAATAAAATCTGACAATAATAATTTATAAATAATGTTTTCTATTAAAAATTAATTTTTACAGGTCCTAAAATTGAAATTAAGTTAAAAACCTTTTCCATGTTCATTGAAGTTTGTTATCCATGCCCTAGATAGCGCTGTATACCCTTTCCTTCAAATTTATAATTTTACTTGAGTTTTATTGATAAAACCTTAAAATATTCTCCTTATAAAACTGACTTTATGAATCAGAAAAATAGGTTTTGACAAAACTTGTCATAACAATACCTTCATTTAAAAATATTAATTTTTAAGTTCAAATAAATTTTAAAATGGAATATAAAGTAAATCCATGTTGTGCTTCTCAATGCAAGGATGCTACTATTACATGTGAAAAAGAAGTAAATCGATTTGAAAAAGAAAAAGGGCATATTCCAGTTTTTATTAACGATGACGTAGATGGAGAACCTTTAGTGTCCACAATGAAATCTACCTACGTTTTTCCAGAACAAGAACCACAAGAAGCAACAATAGGTAAAATTTTAGTATTAATACTTTTTTTAATTTTTGTGTTTTTAAGGGGATATCCTTTTTTTTCAAGAAATAGATAATTAGAAAGCTTTTTGTATGTATACATCCTAGGGTGTTAAAACAAAATTCAGCAAAAAACTCTTAATTTTAATTTTAAGCGCCTTAAGTCTTAACGATCGTTGATAAACCGCTTAAAATTATAAACTCGAGTTTTTAGAAACATTGTTTTTTTTTTAATAGGTCTTATAATTGTAAATTGTAATATTATTTATAAAAAATATTATTGCACGCAGTATGACTGTTAACGCATGGATATTAAAGCTATGATCATTAATCGATTAAAGGTATACCTATTATATATCTATTAGATATAAATAATATAATAAATATAATAATATAAATATATTTAAATATATATATTATTCTTCGTAAGAAAACCCTATTAAAAATGCCCTATAGAACCCATATTGATCCAGATAAGGAAACTAATATGGATTTATATGGTTCTATATGTCCTATATGGAACGACCTGGTTTACACTTTGGAATCTATATGGTTTAATATGGAATTTCATTTTAAAATGTACAACTTAGGGATTTTTATATGGATTTATCTGGTTTCTGTTTTATGTGTTTTTCCATATAGGTTTCCCTATATGGTTGAATATGGAATTCCATTTTAAAATGTATATATATTTAAACGAAAATTGCATATTAAACCATATAGATTCCCCTATATGGTTAAATATGGATCTATATGGTAATAATTTTTTCACACCCAAACCATATTGGGCCAGATAGAGCAATATGAACCTATATGGCAATCCATATAGAAATCACTTTCCAGGTATGGAATTCTATCTGGTTCAATAGTGCAATGCCTGTTTCAAATTCCTATATTGAACCAGATAGATTTTTATTTTGTGTTTCTATATGGCATTTTTAATAGGGAAGGGTATTACCGGGAAATAGTTTCAGCAGATATCCCGGCAGAAGATGCTGTAGTTTGCTTTGTCCACATACTTCCACACATACAGTATATATACAGCAAACCAAATCATGTCACAGTGATATAACATTTACATAAAAATTGTTCCTTGCTATGCAACAGCTATGTCACCTATATGTAATGGCAATGCTCCTATGTCCGCCTCAAGACGCCTTCCTGGGTATGTAACTGTGATGTAAGTGTTTTATCATAGTTATGTAACTGTAATGTTACAGCGCCATATCAGTTATGTAACAGTGATATAACATTTACATAAAAATTGTTCCTTACTATGCAACAGCTATGTCACCTATATGTAATGGCGATGCTCCTATGTCCGCCTCAAGACCCCTTTCTGGGTATGTATCTGTGATGTAACAGTGTTTTATCATAGATATGTAACTGTAATGTTACAGCGCCATATCATAGTTATGTAAACGTGATAAAACAATTATATTCTATTTACATAAATGTTGCATTTAATTATTTATATATAATTTATGCAATATTTACATATTATTTATGAAATATTTATAAATATAATTTCATGTAATATATTATCTTACTGGTATTAAAAATTGCTAAGCCCTAACTTGGTATTATGGCAAATTTTTTGAAAAAAAATCAACAAAATTTTAAAATTGCCATAATACAAAATTAGAACTAAGAAATTGTTAATGCCAGTTAGATAATATATTAAATAAATTATAAATAAATATTACATAAATAATAAGTAAACATTACAAAAATAAATGATTCTGAAAGAGATTAAAAAAAACAAATTGGTTTAAATGTTTATTAAAAATTATTTTAATTAAAAAAAAACAAATCATTTCTTCTTTCTAACTTCTTAAAACTAACGAAACGTTTTTCCAAACAAAAAAAATCCCAAATACATTAATACTTCAAAGCTAAAAAATATATGGTAAAAAAGATAAAGCAATCCCATGAATTTAATATTAATATACCTTTTTTTCATGGGTTTTTTGCTTCCCTATAGGGTATACCAAATCTTTGTTTGGCCTGCCGGAACCATTCGGAAACTATGCCTTCAAAATTTTTGTCTGTCGAAGTGCACACAGCAGCTTAAAAAAATTTATTTAATAAAAAATCCCATAAAATTTACATTTTTACCCTTCAATAAATATTTCAACAGATTTTAAATTTTGAATTTTATTGTTGTTTCTTAGCCCCAGCCAAGAGCAATCTTTTGCCAAATTATTTGAGAAGATTTTCTTTAAAACTCTTACTGTGGCATCTTTCTCTGAGACGCCTCCAATTTTTGTTATATACTGAAACTGAAAAAAAAAACACACAATTTAATATTATTTTTGTTTATTGATTTGTTTTCAAAACAAAGAACAACTATTCTTTATGTAGTTATGTAAATGATATTTGGTACAAATAATAATTTGTTTGATTTTATTTATTCAAGTCAAATGCACCCTGCAACCTTAAGAGATATAAAAATAATGAAAAATATGGAATTTGCATAAAATTAATTGTCACAACAATTATAATAAAAAAGTGTATCCATCTTGGTTATTTAGCAAAATTATTGTATCTTTTAAGTACCAGTTGAAAAAACAGTATAAAGTTTAAAAAAATATAGAAATTAAACTCTTATTTTGGCTACCAAATATCATTAAATTATAATTTGTCGC